CCCCCCCCCCCCCCCGCCCCCCCCGTCCTCTCCCAATGCTCCGTCCTCTCGAGGACGCGTGGTCAATGGTCTAACCGCTAAGGCATGCAAATCGTAAGAAGAGTACACGCCCCGCGTCCTCTCCCAATATTTCGCTCCTCCTTGGAACTCCGTCAGAGTCATCCGCGACTTCGAGGAAGGAGTGCTCGACGCCCCGGCGGGGGCGGGTCTGCGGAAGCTGCTGGCGTCCAAGCTCGGCTGCGACTTGATGCGCGTGTCAAAGAAGTTCTCCGGCTGGGCGTGTGTCGGCAGGCGTGGGTTCCAGCCCGTGCGGCACAATGACGCCAGAGCCTTGAGGGTGAGAGAGGTCGTCTTGTCCTCTTGTTTCTGGCTGCCCAGTCATGAAGCCGTACAAAAGTGTTGAATTCTCTGGAGTATTGAAAGTGAAAACAGGGGCTGCCTGGATATCGGAGTAGAGACGATGGTGGAAACTGCTCGCAAGCACAACGGATGCGGAGGGGGGGGGGATTTGCTTTGCGTCGTGATCGATGCTTGAGTGGTTTTGGCACGTTTGCTCCACAGGCTCGCACTTTTTACATCTCTCGCTGCACAAACTCATGTTACGAATTGCAGTGTGGAGCTGGCCGACCACTGTGTGCAGGTAAGCCGCTCTGTATCAGTGTGACTCCCTTCCTTATCCTCTTGTACTTCTTTTCTCTCTTAGTCGCTCGCTATCGCTCATTTCCAGGCAACACCTGAGCAAGCGGAAACGCATTCAATAAACAACACAAGCTGCTGCTATCAACTAGTGTATCGCTACTTGCCTTGCGTCGGAATACCGGGAATCTGGGCAGGTGGTCGGTGTATGTCTTAAAGATGTACCCGCCCAGGTGGTATCTCAAGTCCAAGGGTCCACATACCACAGCACTCATCGCCGAGAAACATGCAGGTAGATACAAGTCTTAACACGATCTTCCGCCGACATCGGCAAGAGTAACACTCCCGTCACACAGTCTTCTCTCTTACCCTCTCACCTCTGTCGCCCCGCCCGTTGTGTGTTGCAATTACATTTGGGCGCGCTTTGTTTGTCCAGGCGAAAGAGAGCATGTTCAAGATGGAACAAAGTTGGCTGAAATTTTTGGCTTCGAAGTCATCGAAACCCAACGGAAATGTCGCCATCAACGACGGCAGCAGCGGCATCGCCGCCGTCAGCGTCTCCTCTACCCTTCCGCCCCCCTCCTCTACCCTTTCGTCGTCGTCGTCGTCCTCCTCCTCCTCCTCTTCTTCCGCAACCCCCTTTTCCGACCGCGGGTCTTCGACCAAGAGTACCGCGCGCTTGCCGCCCCTTCCGCCGGTCGCCGCCCCTGGCGGTATCATGAAGGAGGAGCAGAAAGACAATGACACCGCGGCACCCGCCCGGCCGTGGTCGGCGGCTCGGGGGCAGCAATCATCGACATGCGACTCCTCGCCGGGCGCGATACACCCTCTCGAGAAGGAAGTGCCGCCGTCCAATGGCTTGTCCCCCTGCCGAGGGAACAGGGAGACGGAGGAGAGGGACGCCGAGGAGCCCCAGGAGGAGGACACGAACGGGAGGGAGCTGTCGCCGCCGCCGCCGCCGCCGTTGCCGTCGTCGCCTCCGTGGGAAGGGAACGCAGGGCGGGAGCAGCCGGTGGGTAGACACGGCAACGAGAACGATCGTTGCCGCTGGACAGCGCCGTCGAGCGCGCCTTCGTCACTGCGTGGCTCTTGTTGCCGCACGGGAGGACGCGCTCCCCCCCCCAAGCGCGAAGGAGTCTACCTTCGGTGGAGCGAGAGATGCCGCAGCCCGCCCGATATCAGCTCTCCATCGTGGCCTTCTCCTGGGGAGAAGGTTTCCAGAGAAACCGACGACGGCGGCGGCATGTGCACCATGCTTCCAGGGCGGGGAGGAGAGGACCGCCGGACAGCCAACATGGTCGTCGCGGCCCAACGTGCCACCAACGAGGGCAACAACACTGCTGCCAGCCCCGTTGCTAGGAGGTTCTCCTCCGGCGGCGTCAGCGGCAGTGGAGTCGGCGGCGGCAGCGGTGGCGGCGACAACGGCTGGCCGCCGGATCCGTCCGCTACCGCAGACCACGAGGAGATGGCCCGTTCTCGGGAGCAGGCTTCTCGCCCGCGACAGCAGCTGCGGCGTTTCTCTAATGGGTGCGTGCCTTTCCGCCTGAAACCCGCCATCCTCCCTCCTCACTTTGGCATGGAAGATCACGAGCAGCAGATGTCTCTTCCTCTCCGCGCCGCCCGCAATCAAGCGATGGAGTTTATGACGGACGGACCACCGCCGCCGCCGCAGCAGCAGCAGCAGCCGCGGCAAGAGTGGTCCAGGGAGGGATGCGGGTGCCCGCGTAGGGTGGAGGAGGAGACAAGGCCGCCGTGGTGGGCAAAGACAGGCCTGCCTGCGGGGATGATGGTACATCCGCAGCAGCACCACTCAGCCAAGGCGCCTCCGATGGTGGGATGTTTCTCGCGCGACAGCACATATGGCGGTGATGGTATTCGTGACTACGACAACGATAACAGCGACTACTCCAGACACCGAGAACAGCAGCCGTGGCGACGGCAGTGGTGGACGCTTTCACAGGCCCGCAGCCCAGGACGAATCGGGATGTCAGCGGCGGCAGCGAACAGCGGTAATCACGGCTGGCAGAAGTACGCGCACAGCGGCGGCGCCTTCAGCGGCAGTGGTGGTGGCGGCGGCGGCGGCGGCGGCGGCGGCGGCGGCATCCGTACAGCGGAACTAGAAGTTGTTCGTCGGATTGGCAACGGGCCGCCCACCGCGTGTAGCGGTACGCCTACTTTTGTTTACAGTTCCCACGACCGCTCCTCTTCTCTCTGTTTGTCGACTCGCCTTTTTCCTGAGAGGACGCAGTGGCGCTCCAACGTTCGGGCGAACGTGGCACCTCGGGCCGGGGGGAGGGGGGGGGCGGCGGCATAGCAACAGGATTGGGCTAGGCCTGTCCTCCATCGGCCGTTTTTTTTTCCCTTTTCGGCCGCTTTTTTTTTCTCTTTCGGCCGCTTTTTTTCCTTTTTCGGCCGCTTTTTTTCCTTTTTCGACCGCCCCAATGTTTTTTCGGCCACCCCATTTTTTTTTTCGGCCACCCCAATGTGTGCCCGTACTAGCCCGTACAGGTACCCTTTTAACACCCTCTCGTGCATCCTAT